CCCCCCCGGCCCCGCCTCACAATAGGAGCGGAAATCGTCCGCGCTCCCGCGTCTTGGCTGAATAGAGCGAAAAGCTGCCTCTCTTCTTCTCCCGCCCCATTCAACGTTGTCTTTAGACACAATATTTTTTTCCTTTTTGTTAAAATTAGGGGGAGAGAACGAGGTCGAGGAAGATTTTGCTTGAGCTCTTTGCCTGTCATTTGTTTAATGTAAACAAAGAGCAAGTCCTCCCCCACCCCCAGCCTCTCATCCCTTTCCTCCCAGATTTTTATAAACAAACTAGTGACTAAAAAGGCGGTGGAGGTGGGGTGGGACCAGCGCGGCGGGCGGACGCGGAGTGGGTCGTTAAGAGGGATGAGAGAGGAGCTACTGCATTTGGGGAGCAGGAGCCATCGCGCTTTTGGTGGAACTGGCGGGTGGTTGAAATATTTAAAACCGGTAAAGGAGCCTTAGCTAGGGCTGGAGGTTAAATCCTCATTTAACCTATATTTAAATATGAAATTCTATATTTCAGGCCCGTTGAAATATAGAAATGCAGCTTCTTTCCACTTCGCTGGAGTGCTTTTTTGGGGAATTGTTACAGGAAAGTAATTTCAAGAAAGAAAGAAAGGAAACCCATGATATGGAGATTTCTCCAAATTCAGGAACCTTCAGCATTGCTACTACCTGGAATTTAAAAACAAAAAATACCCTTTCTAGACCAGGGCAAAACTAAGGGGGAAAGTCATAAAAAGAAAACGAAAACCTTTACAATACTTGTGCATGGGAAGATTTGGACCAATTCCCAACGTGTGATCATTGAAGAATTAATTGATTGTTCACAAAAGCAGTTAGATGCCATCAGGTTTCAGATAAACATTTAAAAAATCTTTTAAAAAGTCACCCTTTAAGAATCTAAAGTGAAATTAGGTAAATCTCCAGATTGGTGAAACAGAATAGCTACTTTATAATGTAATCCTTAGGCAGCATGTTACTTTAAGCAAATTAGATGTACTTTAAAGAAAGATGTATGTCAAAAGGTTTCACCAAAGCAGGAAGAAAAATCCTCTATCAATTCTCCATCACTGTTTGGCCTTCTCTCTTTTTTTTTGCTAAGCAATGAAGCATTCTTTAGAAATTACTTGTAAAGAGCAAGTTTAGTTCTTAGCAGTGTTATTACCCGCCCCCATTTTTGAGAATGCAGAGTTGACATTTCTTTCTGCATTTGAACTGGTTAGTGAGGTGGGATTTTAGAATCTCAAATTCCTCCACTAATTAGTCCTTTCCCTTCCCTCTTGGATCTGGAAGCATCAGCTTAAAAGATAAAATTTGCCACCTATCTTCTTCAAATGCTGGTCTGGACACCTCTACAGTTAGGATGTGGGGAGGCTGGGGAACAAGACAAAATCCCTTGATTTTTCATTGAAGTGCAATACTCTGGCAGATTCAGGACTAGGGTGAGTCATGGGAGGCACCTAGAGTGCAAAATTTAAGGAGTCACTCACTCCCAGAGGCCTTGCACTTGCTGTGCTTGCTTGACCTTGAGAATGAATGCCTCCCTAAATTTTGTACTCTAGGTGCCTCCCTTGCCTCAGTGGGGCCCTGATCCTGCTCCTTGGCGTTCCAGAAACTACCAGGGACTCTTAAGAAACAAAATAGTCTTGAGGAAGCTGTGCCATCCTAGCCTTTCAGGACCCACAGTAGGGCATTTGCTTGTTTTCTGGAAGAACACCGGCTTGATCACAAAGACTTCCCCACTCCTTCCATCTAGAGCTCTTGTGCAAGAGAGTTTTGATTGTCAACGTTTCTCTGGATAAGGGCTGCTTTGTACACTGACAATCATTATAAATCCCAAATGGGGCCAAGTCTGTTCAAGCAGTTGAGAAACCAAAAACCAACCCTTATTTATGTCCTGGGCTTCCCAATCTATCTTGCCATTTGACTGCTTTTTGTCTCCATGACTTCACTTATTTTTGCTTGGTTTGCACACTGGCACTTCTACCCAAATAACTTAGCAGGCTCTGAACCAAAGAGCATATGTTAAGGACAAAAAGGCAAATTGAAAGGAGTCCAGTGGGGAGCAGAGCTTGAGGAGGGAAGTTCAGTTCAAGTGATTTAAAGATCAACATCAAATTTTATAATATGCAATCCATGTCACTAGGACAAAAGCTTACAGACTCTGGATAGCATTTACTTTGTTAGGGCAAGGACAGTAGTTGGTTTGGTTTGGTTTTGGTGTGTGTGTGTGTGTGTGTGTGTGTGTGTGTGTGTGTACGCGCCTGCATACTTTGGGAGGGCAAATTAAATACTAAGAATATTTTTAATTGAAGCCATTACAGGACAATGAAGCTCTAGATGACTTGTTTCATATTTAATACAGAGATCAGATGTTTAAAACCAGTCATTTCTCTGCAACTTACTATTTCATCTCAATATGTGGTATGATTACATTCTTCCACCATCTCAGTATACCCCTTTGGTTGAAAATAATACATTTGATTGAAACCTGCTTCTGCAGCAAGAAGATGCTAGTCTAGTTATTACAACCTCTCCTATCTTCTTTTGTCTAATTATAATGTGAGTTCAACCCTAAATACAGTATATGCTCACTCTAGCATGATCATGGGTGCCTACTGCTTTTGTATGGGAGTGGGCCTCAAAGGAGATGGAAAGCTTTTCTCATTGCAGAGACTATCAGAATAGTCTTACATTTTTATAAAACAGGACTCGCTATTAGTCCCAAAACTTGGCTTCCTAAGTTGTTCTTGAAAGCCCTTGACACTTAATAAAAGTGTCAGGTGAATGAGCCATATTTGTGCTCGGAAAATGGGGAGTTGCCTTATATGGGATGTTCATGTTGCCAATCTCTAGGTTTAAATATATACATATGTACATGCATACATACATATGTACCTACCTACATACACACACAATTTGACTTGGGAGGTGGCTGTGTGGTTATGGACCTACCATAGGCTGTTTTAAAAATATACCAGGAGACATCAGAGAAGGCAAAATATATCATTTGCGCTAGGGCCCTTGCCTGCCTGGTGAATAGAACGTCTTTTTTTTTTTTTTAAGGAATCTGAGAGCAGCTCCCTTAATTAAGAAAGGTTGCTCACCAGGTTTTTATTGTTTGGCTTCTTCACACAAGCCCCTCAGCTCCACCCTGCGCCTTTAGAAACAGCAAGTTCCCAAGATACAGAAAAACGTACCATGGCAGTCTTTTAAATAAGTAAATAAACAGCATATATATGTTTTGTTTAAAAAACTTTAAAGCAAAAGTTATACATATATAACAGCGTCCTTTCGACGTGAAATACCCACGGAGATTCAGGGCAGGCGCTCAGCGTGCAGTTCAGGTTCTGGAGGCATCTTTGCAGCAAAATCCTTGGGAAAAAGCAAAGCAAGAAGAACGTGGCGCTGGGTCGGGCCTCACCGTGGGCTCCTGCCCACGGTAGTGGCCGGAGGGCGCTAGTGGAGCCGCGCGGGCCACGGGGCGGACACGGCGACCGGAGCTCGCGGATCCCTCATCCCGCGCCCCTGGCCACCTGGCTGCGAAAGCGCTGGGTTTTCTTGGTCTTTCATCTTTCCTCCTTCCTTTATTTTTTCTCGTTTTGTACACCGCACTCTGTTTCTGAGCGTGCTGGGCGGGCAGCTCAGATGTCGCACTCGCTGTCACTGGACGTGATGGAGATGGCCGAAGTGGCTGCCTTACTGGATAGACTGGCGGCCGGGCTGGCGACGGCGACCAGCATCTCGGGCGTGCCCTCTTCCTCGGCTCTTAGAGCCCGCCCGGAGCTCTGAGACAAGACTTGCTGCTGGAGCCTACCGGGAAGGAAAGAAACATGAGACACAGCGTGTAACATAGCCTCCGGTTGCCCCCTGGTCCACATCCCTTAAGCCCAGCGGTCAGCGGCTGTCGCTCAGACCCGGACAGTTAAAGCCGGTAAGATGAGGCAAAGGCAGCCCGGCAGCAGTCCGCAGCTGCCTCCCCGCACAGCCCGGCAGTTGCCCTACCCTCCTTCAGAGTCCTTTCTCCGCTGCCAGCCTCTTCGGTCATCGGGATGCTGGGCTCGCAGGGTCATTTCCGGTTGTTGGCCACCTTTGAGAGATTTGCAGTACCCTCAGGATAAATGAGGTGTGGGTGACAAGGACAGACAGACTAGGCTCTGGGACAGGGGATCCCCTTCCCAGCGTGTGTCTGCTTCGGGTAGACACCTGTATCAGTGCCTGAGGCCTGGTTGGCCCAAAGCTTACGGCAAAAGGAGCTGCCTAGGGGTTCCAGGGAGCATTTGGGCCTTGGGTAAGATGCTGAGTTCTTGGCCAAAATGTCTGTCTAATAGAGATCCACATGCTGGGGAATGGAAAGCCACAGCCAACTCGTTTGCTGTTTTGTGACTGGGCTGCCCATGCGTGAGAAGATAACTCGATTTCCCACTTCTTAGAAACACAAGTCCATCGAAAACTGTTTTCATAGCATCAGAGAAGAATGCATCTGGGCTTTAAAAAATGACAATCAACTGCCACACTGTTGCTAATAAGCAGGCTTCACTTAGTAACAGGAGTCTGGGCCAAGGTTGAAAAGAATTCGGTTTGGGCCTTGGGGCCCCTAATTGTTTCTGGGATTTTCATTTTATTTCTTACCCCCTCCCAAGGCAGCCTTGATTTGGTGACTGCAACCAGCTGCTGGAGAGACCCCCCAGGCGCCCAGAACTAGAGGGTGGGGAACCAAGAATCCGGAAGGAAACCTCTGCCCAGAATCCCAGAGCACAGGGGCTCAGAACCGAAGACAGACCGCGCTCCCAACTCCGCTGAATCCAAGTCGCTCGGCCCAGGGTAAGAGCGCCCAGGGTGCGGTCTCCCGCCCCGTCCCGGGTGAGCGCAGGGCGAGGAGGCTCTAGGTACCCACCTGTTCTTTGCGGCAGCTGCCCGGTCCCTTTGTCGGCGGTTTTTGAACCAGTTGCCCACCTGCGTAGGGGTCAGTCCAGTTGCTTGGGCGAGCTCCCGCTTTTTGCTGGGGTTGGGGTACGGGTCCTGGAGGTACCATTCCCGCAGCAGGTGCCGCGTGCGTTCCTTGAAGCAGTGTGTCTTCTGTTCGCCATCCCAAATGGTACGCGGCAGCGGGAACTTCTTCCTCACGCGGTACTTGTCCACGGGCCCCAGGGGCCGTCCACGCAGCTTCTCAGCCTCCTGGTAATGCGCTTCGAGCCACAGAGCCTGAAGCTTGGCGTGCGACTCCTTGGTGAACTTATGGTTTTCCAAGATATGGTAGAGCTCGCGGTAGTTGCCACCGTGGAAGGCCACGATGGCTCTCGCGCGCAGCACGGATTCATTCTTGTTGAGGGCCTCGCAGGCCGCAGGGGCCACGGGCAGCGACCAGAGGAAGCGACCCAGGCGCTCCACGTCGCCGCTCTCCTCCAGAGTCTCGCATACCCCCGCCACTTGCTGGGGGCTGAAATTCAAGATGGGCAACTGGAACATCGAAGCAGCGCCGGCGGCGGCTGGACCGCTGAGCCGGGAGCGGGACACGCAGCAGATGCCCGCGGGCCCGGTCGGGTGCGCCAGGCTCTCCTCGGTGAAGCAGCTTTGGGCAGCCGGGACGCACAGCTGGGGAGGCGGTGGCGGCACAACCGCCGGGAGCGATAGAGCGGGAGGGATTGGAGGAGGTGCGGGCTCCGCGGCTTGGGTTCGGCTCGGCTCCGTTAGGGCACGAAGGCGGGCGAGCGGGCGCCTCTACTGGGGTGGGCGGATTGGCGGCACGGGCGCCATGGAGACCCCCTGTCAGTCACTGGCCGGCTCTGCCAATCAAGACTGCGACCAAGATGTCTGGGCCATTTCAGCACCTCCCCGCCCTCGACAGCGCCCGCCGTTCACCCGTGGACTTTTCCTCAGTATTTTGCAGAACCTGGAGGAGGAAAAGACTTGCCAGCAGCTCGGCGAAAAAGAGAGGCGAGAGCGGCAGCGTTTCAACCCCACTCTCCCCAGCCTTGTTCCTCCGTCCTCCCCCACGCTCCCCACCCCCCAAAAGAGGCACTGATGCTACAGGAATCCACTTTGGGGAGTTAACGCTGCCTGGGACAAGAGGTCTCCAGAGGACAAAGAGGACTGGGCGAACCCTCCAAGAATTCGCCAAGTTTAGTTGTACCCAAACAGCAAATGGTGCGGGCAGCGCACTAATGGGGAGGGAGGGGAAGTGGATCACCTCATTTCTTTCCAGCACCCATCCCTGCATGCCTTTCCTCCTCATCCAGCTGCCAAAGCAGCCGAGTGGGGAGCGAATCTGAAGCAGAAGGAACAGGACCGGAGATCTGTAGAAGAGGTCAGTTTGGACTCCATGCTCACCGCCTTCAAAAACCTCCTGAAATTATTGAAAGTACGAGCTAGGACACTCTAACAGCTGATAACACAGGTGCTGACCGTGAAGTCAAACACTCGCAAGAAAAGGGGCATCGCACCCCACAAAAGTTTATACTTTTTAGCTCTCCCTCCGCGCCCCTTCAGTTTAATGGACTTGAACAAATGTGCAGCATAGCCACATCTAGAGTGAGAAGTCAATGGTAGGTCAGGACAGCAACTTAAAAGCTTATTTTACAGATCTTTTTAAAAATATCGATTTGCTCTTGCAGGCTAATTTTGCCCTACCCCGTGCCAGAACATTTAACTCTTAAACTGGGGGTAGAAACTCTAACCTTGGCCTTTTAGCCCCAAAGTAATTCAGTAGAAGTAAAATAGAGAAGGGGGAACCACAGCAATGTGGGGAGTTGGGGCAGAAAGCGCTTCCTAAGCTGTTGAGCAGTGACCTCTCCTGCAGGGAAGAGGGGCCTTCTTGGCGGCTCTGCCTTTGGGCCAGCAGATTGAATTGGCAACTTTTATTGATTCCCAATTGAAGTTCACGTCATACCGTTTTCCGAGGCCTGGGTCAAAACAAATCACGATCTCACCTGGCCTTTGACGGGGGTTGTTTAGTTTGAAGAAAATAATTGGGAGAGGGGAGTCTAACAAAAACGCCAGGAAAACCATCTTTGGGAGTTCCATCTCCAGAAAGGAATCAGATTGGAATGTTCGCGAAATGGACCTGGGCCGGCTGTCTTTTCTTTAGTATCAAGTACAATTTGTATGCGGCTTGTATAGCTCCGGTAAATCAGAAGGCAGATAGATAGCACAGATGGTTGGAGGTGTCGGGTCGGATCATGCTACGCCTGAGTGCAGGGCAAAGCTCGTTCTGACGGAAAACCCTGATATTATTTTCACAGATCTTCACAGTTCACTCGAAAAGAAATAGCAGAGGGGGGGAAAAACACAAAACCCTGCAACCATTTACATCATTTCAGTGAGATTGCCAGCCGCCTCAACAGAGAGGCTTTCTTTTCTAAGAGCTCATTTTCTTGAAATGCGACAGGGCAGGAGCAAAATAAAGAGGGCGATGAAGATAATGACAAAGCAAAATCCTTTTCTACCTTGGGGCGTCTTCCGAATCCGCCGGAAGGACAACTTTTTGTTAGAAACATCACATACATGGGCCCACAAGACTCAGTGAAGAAAATCTGGCGGGCCTTGGGGGCCGGGCTAGGGTGAAGCGGGACCCTGCGAGAGCTGCGTTCCCCGCACTTCTGGCTCCAGAAAGGAAACATCCCTCTGCTCCAGTTTGCAGAGGTTTCTTAATTTTCCCCTCGGGATGTCCCCCTGTCTCTCAATAGCAGAATCGCTTCGCGCGCAGAAGCCGCCGCGGGTCCACTAAACCTTACAGTCCGCGAGCGCAGAGCGGCCCCCAACCCCTGCGCCTAGCGGCTGGAGGGGAGAAGTTGTCAGTGTCCTAGGGGACCGGTCTCCCCGTGCCCTTTTGCTACACAGTTTGAAAGCCAGTTCGGAGAAAACTGGCTTCTTACCCTTAGCCTTTGTGAGCAAGTCGTATTAATTTTCCAAGTCTAGGTGCCCTATCCAGGATATGGGAATATTTATCCAGGTTCATGGACAATAGTTCTGCAAATATTAGGTGAGAGGGCGCTTTGGCTTCTGCGTGTCTGGGGCTCCCAGATGACTGGGACCGAAAGCGTGGGTTGACTGCCCTAGAGCTGCCGGAAAAGGAAGCAGGCTGCGGGCGGGGGCAGAGTTCGAGCCCCGCCGGACGCAAAATCTGGGCGCTGGGCAGGCGAGGTCTGAGAAGTGTCTAGAGGCTCGGGTCTATTGTCAGTTGATCCGATCTATCTTCGCCATCGTAGAGGACTTGGTTTAATTTTATTAGTTCAAAGGAAATAAACGACACCTGGACACGTTGGGATCATGTATTCGTTCACCAGCTTCACTCGGGCGGTGGTGGAGGAAGGACAAACAAGAAATATGAGACCCCCATCCCTGGAAATGAGACAAGTTCCTCTAGGTTACTTAGAAATAACCCCATTGTGGAGAAGGCGGTGACTCACACCCCACCCTTAAAGAGGGTTGACTTTTCTTAATTTTACAAAGGATAGATTGGAGCTTTGTGCCCTATCCTCTCCAACCCTCTCCCCCCGCCCCCTTCGTTTTTCCTTTTGCGCTTGACCAGGAAACCTAGAAAGCAGGGCATCTGCCCTTGGCCTCGGGCCTGTTTGGGCAGTTTTGCAACTTTCTGCGTTTGGTTTGCAGCTACTGATTTGGGAGTGCTTAGGCAAATGCTCGATTCTTGCCGGGAATCCATAGACGTCTATTCTGCTTCTGCAGACTCAAGAGTTTTACTTTGTAGGAAAAATATGGAGGGAAAAAACCATGTAGAAGACATTGCTCCTGGGCAGCTTCTATGTCTAACTTCAGTATGGAGGCAGCAGGGCAAAGTGCCCCCAGGAAGTTGTGAGGTTCTACCAGAAGTCTTCCGAGTTCACCTGGGACTTCTTGCACACCTCATTTTGCCCCTTCTGGTTTTCCTCTCTAGTGGAGAGGGACACGTGGAGGACTGCTTACACCCTGCTGAACCATTAGCCAGTGGCGATCACCGCGTAGAGGCCAATACATTCTTACCTGGAGGTTCCAGTCTCTTGCCTTGTTTTGTCTCAGTCTCTTATTTTTCCTTTGACTTTCCTAAATCAAATGGCTGTGAAATAAATGTCTTTGTTTTCTTTCCTCCACAATTTTGCATCGTCAGGGATTTTAAGAATGTAGTAATTGAATGTATCTGAATTCCTTGAGAAAGATATTTGTGCTGCTGCATGTGAGTCACAGACTGGAAAACAATGAGGTCCCAGCCTTTGTGTATGCCCATTTGACTTTTGGGGGAGAAATCTTTGTGGGTTTTTTTTCCTGGGCCTCTAAGCTGTTCAGTTGCTAGTGAGGGAGAATAATGGGGGGAAAAATCTAGAAAACTTAAAAAAGGCATTTTATTCTCTTTGGAATTACAGTATTAAAATTTCACACTCTTCAACATTTACTAAAGCACCTAGTATTGTGATTTTCAGATGCTACATATGCATAAATATAGGTATATTTGTTTATGTATTTGATGGCCCACATCTTCAGATTATGGAATGAATTCAATATCCTAGTTTTAAAGTACTAACTATCCTAATAAGCTCCCAAGGTAGATTGCTCTGTTTCATGCATTCTCTCCCTGCCAGTATGTACCTTGTAACAAAGAACAGAGATGCCTCTTTATTGTGCATTCCTAAGAACAAACACCATTTGGGGAATGTTTTGTAGATTTACTGGCACTGTAAAATTTACTGGCAAAAAAAGTACTACAATTAAAATACTGATCTAATTTTAAGAGATTAGGATATTTTTCTTGCTATTTGCAAAATTGTTCCACTAGCTATTTTTTAAATGATGCAAAATTCCTTATGTTAAGTGGAGGAAATTTTTATATATTTAAATATGGAGAAAATGTGCCATTTAAAAGTAATGATTAATTAGCAATAATGTTTTAAAAAATGTTAGGCTGACTATACAATTCTATTTTGACCTCTAGTTTGTGGTTGCTCCTAAACATTGGATGAGAATTTATATTTAAGGCAAAGAGTATAACAAGTCATACTCCTTGTTTAAACCATGGTCTTAAATTCACTTTTCTCTCTTTTCTGCTTCTTTTGAATAAGGCTAAATCTGCACAGGCTAGCTATAGACCATGGGATAGCTTGTTTAAGGCGATATATCAATCAGTGGGTTTTTGTGTGAAGGATTAATGCTTACAAATGTAACCAGTGTTTCACTTATAAACATTTTACTATCAACAATGAAACATTAGTTGAATGACTGATAGAATGATTAATTCATAGTTTTTTACTGGAACTTATTTTGTTTTTCATTTTTGACCATTTTCAAATCTGAGTTCCAAGTATCTTTCTGAAATACACATGGAAACCTTAAAATTCAATTATGTGAAAAAGTGTAAGTTTGTTTATGTCCTCTGAGATGAGCCAAACATTATCACATTAAATTGTATGTGTGTCATATATGTTTTAATTACATGTACTATATGTGTAGTAAATAATCCCTTCCAAGAACTATAAAATCAAATAGAGGCATTAGCCTCCAATAAGTACCTTAAATTCTCTGAGTTGATCCATTTGGTTGACAGAAAATACTTTTTAAAAATTGCATTATAAAAAATACATTTATATGGCATCTTACTTTCAAAGCTGTAAATCTCAGCAGAGGGCAGTTTTACTCC